TTCTATGTGGAAACTAACCATATATAGTAATGTTAACAATGGTATTAAAATTCTTTGAATGAGATTTTTTTTAATGTTAAAATTCACCAAATCCAGTCCAGCACACACACTAACTCTAAAGTCTATTACCCTCTACTACACCATAAGCAGCACATTCTTCCATTGATAGTTCCGACTGAGGAACTGTTAATGTTACAGTCTCATACTGTGGGAATCCAGCACTCTCTACACCATAAGCATTACATTCTTTTACTGGTACTTCACAGTCTCCTTCTGACTGTGGAGCTGGTAGATCTACAGTCTCATACTGTGGGAATCTAGTACCTTCCACTACACCATAAGCAGCACATTCTTCCATTGATAGTTCTGATTGTGGAACTGGTAGATGTACATTCTCATACTGTGGATTAACTGATGATAGTTCTTGCTCTTGTGAACCTGTAAGTAAACCTTGTTTATGAATGAATAAATAAATTACAATACTTTGATTATTATTTTCATTCATCTTCAGTAATGTAACATCATTAATTACTTCCATTCTTCCTCTTCTCTTTTTAAATCGAACTGTTGCTGCTACCACTACAATTACTATAACAACTACAATGTACATATTAATGACAACATTTGATTATAATGTACATACCAATTATTATAATTAGTAGTGGAATTGATATCCCAGAAGCCAGTCCAATAATTGATGAAGAAGATATGGATAATGTTGGGATTACAGTAGATGAAGAAGCTATGAATGAAGGTAGAATTATAAATGAAGAAGAAGATATGGATGAAAAAGTTGCCAATGAAAGAGTTGGGGCTAAAGAAGAAGTTATGAATGAAGAAGTTTGTGAAGTCGTGGATGAAGAAGATAGTGATGAAGAAGAAGAAGTTGAGGATAAGGAAGATAGGGGTGAACGAGTAAGGGATGAAAAAGTTAGGGAAGAAGTTACTAGAATTAATGGGGGTGTAACAGTTAAAGTACAATAAAGTACATTATAACTACACAAATGAACATACACTGTACCTGTCACTAATGTACTAGTTAATCTAGTGGTAGGAATAGAAGTAGAACTACTGATGGTAGGAGTATCTGTAGTACTGCTTATGATGGAGCTACTTGTAACTAGTTGTACTGTTGAAGTAGTTGAAATAGTTTGCACTGATGAAGGATATGTTTCAAATTCAGACATTATTGATGAAGTTGGTACAACCAAAGTAGGGATTTTTGTTGGTAAGGACGTCATTGATGAAGTAATTGAATTAGATAATGAAGTAGCTGAAACTGATGAAATAGTTACTACTGATGAAGTAGTTATTATAAAAGGTACAGACATCATTGATGGAGTAGTCAATACTGTTGATGTGAGTGATACTGATGATGAATGAACTGATGAAATTAGAACTGAAGATGTAAAGTCATTAGTAATATTAATACCAGTTATTACAGCAGGACAATTAGTTTTATAGTTTTCGAAAAAGCTTTCAAATTCACATGCATGCAGTGTTAAGTTATTACCAGCTGGTATGCCATCAAAACACTTAATAAAGTTCAATGAATCATTAAA